TGGGCTTGGTGCGGGTGGCGGTGGCACTGGGAGGGGGGCTACGGGATGAGCTACAGCCCCCACCTCCCAGCACCACCGCCACCTGCCTGGTCCCCGCTTTCAGCCCCGGCCTAGCCTCCCTGCCAGCAGGAAAAGGCCAGTGCAGCCTCTGGCCCAGGGCCCACAGCATGCAGGCAGCCAGCCCTCGCCCCATGCACAAATCTGGGGGGGGGACATGCCCCCCATACCCCCTCTGGGGGTGCATGCAGTAGCAGAGAGCTGCACCCACCTCCACCCCCAGATGAACTGCCTTTGGCTCTGTCCTGTGCTCCACTCCCCACCCCAGGTGGGTGGCACCTGCCCCTGCTCCTGCCTGTCCTAGCCCCACTCTCTCCCTCACCATGGGGGCCTCGATCTGCCCCCCTGCAGCCCTTCCCCCCCACAGACTTAGTGCCTGGACGCTGCTCTCCAAGATGTGAGCTGCATATTGGCTAGGTATTGTCCGATATGGCTAATTAATCATTGGCCATCGGTATTGGCCAAAAAAAAAAATCTTTATCAGTGCACCCCTAATTATTTTTTATTTTTGGTGGCATAGCTAGATTTGATATAGGCCTGCATAGGGGTACAAAAGATTCTTTTCTGGAAAGCTTCCTAATATTAATGAGCTCTAGAAGAGAGTCTTCCTGGAAAAACATAATGGAGATGAAGTCATCTCTGTGTTTGCATTTGATTTTTAAAGGTCTAGTGTTTAGTTATAAATTGTGGCTTTAACAATATTAGGCAGGTGGCTATCAGGAAACAGATTCATCATGATTCAGTGAAACACAACCACAAAACTCTATGCTCATTAGGTTTTAACTGGCATGAATCCACCAGCGTCAAAGCAAAATGCTTTTCGCTTCATTGCAAAGCCTTGTCTTGATATTTCCTAAACTCAGTTTACAACTTAAGCAACAAACCTCAGCAGAGGAACTGAAACTGAGACCCCACCCCTCTACAGATGCAGGTAAAGGCACAATTGGATCCAATATGTGATGCACACAATTGCACCTCCTGCCACGCCACATGTGTATATCAGGAAGTCTGACTGTGGGATCGTACATTAGATCCAATTGTGCCTTATTGCTGGTATAGAGGAAGTCTGATCCTGGCTTCTCCCTGCATCGGCAAGAAGCAGGCTTTCATGGCTGGGAGCCCCCTTAGCTTTGTAGCCAGGACAGAGAGTCCCACACCTGACATCTGATAAAATGGATTCATGGAGAGACATGCCTGGACTTGGCATTCAACAGCAAAGTTTCATAAGCAGAGGAGAGAAACCTTTTTATCCCATCTAAGGCTCCAAGAACCAAAATATGATATCTAGCCAACGTGAATCCACACTAGATAACAGTCTACACATCCCCATAACCTTCTCGCTCCTCTAGCACCAGCCCTTCTGTTTTAAAACATGACCTGTAAACAGAAAGAACAAGAGTGAGTTTTGAGAATACTAAGAGTGCTGGAAGGGAAACACTGATCAAGATTAACTTTTAGGTCAAGGGCTAATAGGTATATTTAATAGATTTCTTAGATATTAGGGCTGGAAGGGACCTCGGGAGATGACAGAGTCCAGCCCCCTGCCCCAAGGGCAGGAAGTCAGCTAGGGAAAGTCAGCTATATTATCTCAGGAATGGACTTTTAAAATTTTAACTTAGTTACTGCAAAACCAATTTTAACTGCTTTGTCTTTTCTGTTGGTAGGATGTGCTCAGATTTGCGAGTAACGAGTATAATACAAATACCTAGATTTTTACTAAGGAAATATATTGTGCTCAGCACCTAAACTAACGAAGACAAGATTGTTACTACAAGGAACTGCTTCAATCAAAGCCAATGCTCTCTGCAGACATGGAGAAGAGTTCAGGGTCTCTACTGTTTGTGCTTAAGTATTGAGTGGATCCCTTCCTGAAAGTCCTTGGTAAAGAAAAGAGTGCTCATACAGTAATTTGGAATCAGCAAACTGCAGTTGCCTATAAGACTAACTAGATCCTGCCAGCTGAAATCTGACCAGTACTTTGACCAGCCCATCTCCAGGGCTAGTCAGACTTGAGACTGACTCTTGGGATTTCTCGTTTCTAAAAACAACAGTACCTTTAATTGAGACATACTATGACAGAATACAGTATGTTATAAAACAGACTTCCTGATTACAAGATCCCTTGTTCCACTTAATTCCTCCTTGTGCCATCTGCCAGTCTGTCCTGAGGCAGGCGGCTCTAGGTGTGTCTTCTTAAGACTTTGCTCAGTCTTGTAACTAGCAATCCCTTCCACACCTCCTGCTAACTCAAAAGCCTGGTCTGCTCAATCCTTTCCCTCTAAATCTTTCCCTTGATGAGTCCTTTCTTAATGGCTTACATCAACAGTAATCCTAGAGCTGATGTGACCTTAAATTGAAGGCTAAAAACATGCATTGGATTTTTCCAATCTGGAACAAAGCCTTTTTTTTATTTCAGGAACCAATAGATGTAGAATCTATTTTTAAACTGTGAAGTATCCATGATAACATTTTCCCCAGGACAACCAGGGCTAATTTGAGTTAATTACCATTCAGGCTGCATGTGTAAATTATGTTCCTATGCATGTTTTGATGCGAGTCAAAGACCAGGACAACCAGATCCAGGATAAAATTCATGTCTGTTTTGAGCTGGCAACTTTATACAAGCATAGGATCATAGGAAAGGTCATCTAGGGATCTCATAAGATCATCTAGCCCAGTCCCCTGTTCAAGGCAGGATCATCCCCGACTAAACCATCCCAGCCAAGCATTTATCTGTTCTACTCTTGAAAACTTCGAGTTTTCCACAACCTCCCTAGGTAGCCTGTTCCAATGCTTGACCACCCTCATAAATTCCTCCAATCTGCAATACTAGTAGGCATTACCTTATTTAGATCAATGTGGGGATTTATAGGTCTTTAGGTGCTTCGTTCTTTAAGTTACTTCTTTCTTTCTCTCTCTTCCCAAGGGTACTGACAAGGGGAACGTTTTATAGATAGGGAAGTGAGATTCAAGGCAAAGCCTCTTTCAAAGGTCAGACAGGAAGTCTGTGGCAAAACAAAGAATTGAATCTGTGTTTCCCCAGCATATTAATTCATCCCTCTGACTGCTAGCAACTATATTTCCATCAAGAGTCTTACTACTGCATATTACTGTAGTAGCACTGACAGCTTAATGGATATCAGGACATATCGTGTTAAGTGCTGTACCTACAGTAAGAAACCATTCTTGTTGGGAGGAACTTGCATATATACAGACAAGAATATATATTATATGAAACAGTAGTAGACTCTGGATGCCTACAAACCTGAGACAAGTTTCTTTGCTGGAGAAAATGACAACATTTTTGTTCGCATTGGCTCATTTTTAATGTTCTTAAGAAAAATGAAAAGTAAATTTAAAGGAGCGTCATGCTCAGTCTCTTTCTGATGAACAAGGATAGCCATAACTTTATTACATGCCATTACTTCAAGTTAATATCAGACTAAAAATAACTGTAATGCAGAATAGCATACTGATGAAAAAGTGACTGAAGTTTTAGAAAAGAAACAGCAGCTTCTCAGTGCTACCCAGGTTGTACATCTCATCTTTTACCCCTCCTTGTAAAAGCTGAGAGTAACCATTTTCCTCCTGTGGCCTGATCAAAAGCATGGGAGACAGGAAAAAGTCAAATCTAACTATTCCACTGCTTTTACACTATAAAAAAAACACCACTTAAGGCTTCTTTTTTAATACTTATTCTCTCTAGTCAGTTCTAAGTGCTGTTAATCTGTTTTAACATGGTATTTCTTGAACTCTGAGTAATTTGTGCGTGTGGGGGGGACTGCTGGGAAATCCCCGCTTTCAGCCCCAGCCTAGCCTCCCTGCCAGCAGGAAAAGGCCAGTGCAGCCTCTGGCCCAGGGCCCACAGCATGCAGGCAGCCAGCCCTTGCCCCATGCACAAATCTGGGGGGGGACATGCCCCCCATACCTCCTCTGGGGGTGCATGCAGTAGCAGAGAGCTGCACCCACCTCCACCCCCAGATGAACTGCCTTTGAAATCCTAATTCAGCTGCCTTTTAAAAAGTTACACATTTGCCTATGGGCCCAATGGGTTCTCTGTCCCCCCCTTACTATCTTTCCATGAAAAGACTTTCTAAGAAATTATTAGAGCACAAGTATTTCCATGGCCGGCTGGAAACAAAACACCCTTGGGTAATACAACATGAAATCAACAGCAACACTGGGCACTGTCGAGTTGGTTATCAGCAGTTACTGGGCTCTTGGCATTCTAGCATTCATCTTGCACTTCTCTCTCTACTGTGGAGAGATAATCCCTATTCATGCCTTTTTCCTTCCCTCAAGACTTTTCAGGCTCTCAAACAGACTGATGCTGTCTCCCACATAGCTGTATACTAAGGTTCCAGGTAAGTTTTTTTTAACCGAAATTTGGAAAGAAAACTATTTGAGGTCCTGATCACTATGCAAAAGGCATACAGGTCTGTTGGCTTTATACCTACTAGAACACAGTCAGAGGTGGCTAGTTACAGATGCAAAAAATCCCTGCCCTTGTACGGTCTGAAGACTCCACACATGTCCACTGCAATACAGCCATTCTCCATCACCTACTCAGAAAGCCCTGCTCAGATTTGAGCTCTGGAATTCACTCTTCCCAAGGACATCAGTATTTCTCTCTGGTAAGGATCTGCCAGTCCTAAATGGCACCTTTATGCCCCCTGTCCTTTGCCGATTAGTCTTCACAAATCTCAGCAGATTAAGGATGGCAGCGGGTGTAATTCCAGGAATGCGGCTGACTGCTCCAATCTATACATGGAAACAGCAACAAAAATCAAGTTGAGATTGCCTCCAAGTCCAATATTATGATTAGAGACCTACTGAAATTGTGCCTCTACTATTTTAGGCTGGCTCCCTGAAAAACAAACTAAACAAGTCAACCAAAAAGTTTACTGAAAATAAAATGCTGACTCCCTCTGGGGAGCCAATAGTCCTTGTGGCCCTAGCTTCACAGCCCACTAGGGGGAGGCACGGAGGGAAGGAAGCTGAGGGAACAGCAAGCTAACTGCTGCCCTCACCCCTTGTTGCTGATTGGCAGCAAGGGGCGGGGCCACATGGGCAGCCCATCAGTGTCAAGGGATGGGGCCACTGTGGCCCCTTGGCCAAAGGGGTGGAGGGGCCTGCTGTGCTCAGCCTATGGAAATTACTGCCAACCCCAGGATCTGCGCTTGAAATTGGCCGGCCACTGTCTCAACTTTGGTTGGACCCCTAACTATGAAGCTCCTTAATCCAGTTGGCGATAGCCAAACCTACTATGGAAAACAAGAACTCACAACTCAGTGCCAAAGTGGGTAATCCTCCCTCCTGCCCCAATTTTCAAATGCCAGAATAAAGTGGTGCTTTACAGCCATTACTGCCATGCCCCCACCCCCTGGCCCAGTGCCTTACCGTCTGGGGACGGTTTGAGTCCAGTTTCTCTCGCATCTCCTGGGACAGTGATGCATTAATGGTGAAGTAATCCAGGTTCTCTGGCAATCGGAGAGCTTCATCTCGGCGCACTTCCTCCATTTCCTGCTGCTGATTGGATGTACACAACTTGTAAACAACTGCATTGGCAGCAAAGAAGGTAAATGAGGACGGGAGAACAAAAACAATAATAATACATAGTGGGTACGAAATACATGGTTCTTTAAAAGAGCTACTGACAACGGAAGCAAAATTCTAGGTAGAAATGTCAAGAATGTCTATGGAGTTAGGCACCTTGCTTCCATGGACTAGGGAGCCTCACCACTATTAAGACGGGGGTCAACAATCTTTTCAGGCTGCGGGCCAGACTGACCCTGTTTGGGTGAAAGATGGGTTCTAGCACCTGCCCGCTATGTGCTGGCCCAACTGCTGCCACCACTGCTTTTCCCAGGAGCTGCAAAAGGGAACACACCCACTGCTGATACTTTTCTTTTCAGAGGTGGCAGAGGGTGAACATTTGGCATTTTTCCTCTCAGTGGCAGTCATTTTCACTTGCCAGTGCATGGAAGAATGCCAGATGTGGACACTTCCCTGTGCTGCCGAAGGGAAAAGCAGTGGTGGCAGGTGTTTTTTCTGTTGAGCTCCTGGAGAAGGGATGGCAATGGTCGTTGGGTCCTAGTGACTGCCCATCTACTTCTGACCTAAAATGGGTCAATCCAGCTGCTGATGCCCCATGTCTAGAGGCTTGATCAGATGGCTTGACAGGGCCAACCCAGCCCATGGGCCATAGGTTGCCAATCCCTGTTTTAGGGACTTTGGAAAAAACCCAAATATCACAAATCTCAGTTTTCAATAGGAGACTTGATCTTCTCTTAACCAAAGCAGAGCAGGAGAACTCTGGGGCAGTTGTAATACATTGCTGGAGCAGTGAGGGGGAAAAAGGCCAAGAAAAATTAACACAGACTCAATTTTCCTGCCCACCAAGAGAGGAGAACAGTGTTTTCTCCAAGGTAGGACTTGGATCCATTTATGGAAGAATGGGATGCTCTACTGACAGTGGCCCTTCCACACCGCAAAATCCACAGAGATGGCTGGGGTTTCAGCATCATGCTCATTCCCCCCTGAACACATGGATGATGTTTGGTCCTCTCTACCTTCTATTTTAAGTCTTTCTGCCAATTCTCTCCATTCAGCAAGCTTTCCCAGGGATTCTGGGAAAATCCTTGCCAATAACTCCATGTTGACTTCTGGATACTGAAGGATGTCGAAGGCCCTGTGAAAACAAGACCAAGTGACTACTGTAACAGGACTAGTGCATTGCACAAGAATGGTAAGCAGCCATTCCCAGAACCACTGGATGGAGCTCGGCAAAATCCTAGTTCAGGGATGACCCAGTTGCCACCACTTGAGGAGAGGAGAGCAGCTTAGCCGATAGCCTGTGCAGGGGCACCAAGGACTGATCAAGCAGCAGAGAACAAAAAACCCTCTCCAGCCAGAGGGTCCCTGCAGATCAGGGCAAGCAGCACAGGAAGAGCTACTCTGGACTCCTAAAGTCATGTCTCTTCTCCGGCCACAGACATATAACACATTTGTGAACAAGGAGATATAAACTGTAAACACCAGTGTAACTTATCTGAAACCAGTGAAGAAATAACCCCATTAAAGTAAGGGTACAACATCTGTCCTGCTACTGGCAAAAAGGCTATTACCCGCTCCCTGCCCCCTAGTGGGTACCTGGGTGTGTTTCAGCCCTGCCTCTATGCTGGGGTTGCATAAATCCAGGAAAAGGAATAGGGGGGAGCAGGTTATAGAGAAGTAGGGACAGAGGGCCCTCCAGAGGTCATCTAGTACAGGGGTTCCCTTCCTGAGGCAGAGTCCTCCCATGTTTTAGCCAAAATAGCTGAGGCATCCATCCAGGAAGCTGGAGACCTGCTGGGGTTCTAGGCTTATCTTCCTCCCCACAACCCATAAGGGGTTTGAACCTGCATCTCTCTGACTTTCTCAGCAGTGCTCTTAACACCAGACTACAAGTCAGACATTGTCTATGCTCCATTCCAGTCCTCCTTCTGAAGCTGAGCCACACGGCCTTCAGGGAAAATACAATCAGAGAAATACATTTACGCAGCTAGAAATCTACCGTTTGGACACTTGAACACCATAAGTGCTCAAAAAGAGGAAAAAAAAAAATGGTCCAGAATGCAGATCTCCTACAGAAGCAAGCAGTGCACAGGTAGGGAAGGATCAGTAGCAACCTTTACCTGACAGGTGAGCTACGACTGCTGCTGATTACAATCTCTGGAATCAAGCTGGACCATTTGGAGGGAGGGAGTTGAAGAGACTTTAGCACTGCAACTCCCTCCTCTATGGCAGCCTTTATTTGAGATGTTCGTTCATATCGCTGCCGGGACACGCAGCCAGTTTCCTCAAAGCCTTCAGAGAAAAGACAGTGTGCGAGTGAGAGAGGTGCTATATAGGCTGGCCTGCTGGTCAAGAAAATCACCAGAGGGATAGGCTACCTCGGGGGGTGAGTCTGCTGTCTGCATTGTCGGGTCTCAGGAACGCGCGGAACTCCACTCGGCTGGTGAACATGCGGTACGGCTCACTGGTGCCCAGCGTGGTGAGGTCATCAATCAGGACTCCAATGTAGCCTTCAGTGCGGCTGATAGTGAAAGGAGGTTTGCCACAGACTCGCAGGCAAGCATTGATTCCAGCAATGACTCCCTGCCAGACATCAAAGTGGTTACAGGAGCCACTATGAAGCCAGCACATTGACTCATTCCGATCCACGTGGACTGCTATATCTCGCACACACAAGCCTCCAGGTATGTGGGGCAGAATCTGTGTTATTTGAGGTGTGCTAGCTGGTACTAGATGGTCTCTGATCCTTGCAGTAGTTCTAAAAACAAATGTTCTACCTCCTGGGAGAGAAGATTTTCTGCAACCATTCTAGAGTTCTCAGGATGCTCTCCCTTACTTTTCCCCAGATGCTTTCTGTGACTATCCTTGTGCCTGGAGGGGACTGGTGTGCAAAGCAAGTACTGCCTCTTCCTTCCCCCAGATGGCCCTTGTTCTCAGCCATCAACTAAGCAGTGCATTCACTGCTTGGCCAGGCAGTATCCTTAATGCTCGGATGTGGGAAAGCAGTCTGAGAACAAGTTTTGCTGCTGAATATCTGAGAAACCTATGCATGTGGTTCTACAAAGTATCTTTAACTCGCATAACCAGTACAACATCCTGTTTACACCACTGTTGGGGGGGGGGGGAAGCAGTGCAACGGGGAGCACACACTGGCATTGAATTATGATTACTGGGTCTTTTGGGGTGTACTCTGAGTGTGAAATGCACACTTTCAGATTTGCTCACCTGGGCTGCTGCTTCTTCATAGCCTGTGGTGCCATTTATTTGTCCTGCAAAGAAGAGCCGCTGAACCAGACGAGACTCAAGGGAAGCAGTGAGCTGACGAGGATCTAGAAAGTCATACTGAACTCCATAGCCTAGTATATGCAAAGGAGATTGTCATCAAGAAAAGGAGAATACACTCTCTATCACGTTAGGCATCATTTGGGTGGATTCATTAATTTTAATCATTGTTCAAATCAAGGTTTCTCACCTGCCAATTTAAATAATTTTAACCTTGTTTTGCTTTTTAGTAATTTTTTAGAGAAAGGAAGATGCTCACCAGCTGGTAACCCTTAACACACATTGATGTGTAACTAAACACAATTTTTATGTTAAATTTTACACTACTTTTTGCTAATCAGGATGCATATTTAAACATTAAGCAGTCATATACCTTAACATCCTTAGATGGTGAACATTTACATGTTCTTAGGATAGAAAATAGTGAATTAATGTTGTTCATCATAGTTTTTTTTAATATTGTAGCATGGGTCAAATAGCTTTAGAAAACGGTATTCAATCAAACGTAATTAAAAATGCAGAAAACCAGCACTATAACATTGTTTTGTTTTAGTTTAATAAACAAACAAACAATGTTAACACCAGACTATATCACATAAGAGCTCATTTATTAAAGGAAGGAAGCACTAGTTGCAGCTAGTGAACTTCATACAGCTTTTGGTTACCAAGTCTTTTAATAATCTAGAACCGTAGATTTCAACCTCACATTAAGCCTCTATCTACACACAGGAAAAGACAAACTTTCTTGCTTTTTCAGCTCTGAGTTGGATTCTAATTTTGAATAAACGGTTTTTTGAATGGCACTAAGCTAAGGTGGAGAAGACAGTCTCTCTGTATCTGTAGAAGAGGCTGCCATTGTCACAAGCTGATTTAGTAGGTTCCAGATTTTCTTAAACATTTGGCTGCAATCATATATTGTTTGAATAGGTTTTGATTAAATTCACAGATTATAAGAAATGTGCATGTCAAAATAGTTTGATTTCATGTTAAAATAAAACAGGATTACTTCAGGGAAAAATGTGTTTATATAAAAAAATCCAATTAAAAATGATTTATGCACGTTCACTCTGGGTGCCAAGATTTCCAGACATAAGAGCTCAGGAAGATGCAAGTTTGCTCAAAACTTGTGCACCTGGGAACAATAATGGGTCATAAATCTAGATCCCTTTGTAATACAGACTGTATGGAACGATCTGACTCTCTCTCACCTGGCTGTACCATCTTGGCTTTCTCCAAGCCCTGGATGCATGTAATCACCTGCTCCTGGAGCTCAGGTGGCAGTGTCATTGACATTCCTTGGGGGTAGATGATATTGGAATCCAGACCCTCAGGCTCCAGCCACAGCTGATGAATACGGTTTGGAAAGCGCAGAACTTTAGATTCAAGTGAGGGACAGTACCTGCAGAGGGAAACAACCATCAGTGCAAGGAGGTAACAGAGAGAAGGTAATCACTGATTGTGAGCTGCCTCCCAGAAGTAAAATAAGGAAGAAGTAGGCAGATTCAGCTGTTCTGTCACATCATGAAAAAGATCCTTGCAAGATGCCCCATACTCACCGGGGTCCTTTTGTTGTCTCCTTTACATGGTTGTTCAGGTAAAGATTATCATGGATAATTTTCTCCACTTTGGGGTTAGTGTAAGTCAGGTAACATGAGAGCTGATCCTCTGGCTGAAAAAGATCAAGTCTTACTTAGATTTAACCCACCAATAACACTTGCATTGATCAAGCACTTCTCACCTGACGATTTCAGACATTAGCTAACTTCTACAGTGGCTCCAAGGGGCTGATAGTTCCATTACATCTGCTGTGGAAATGGTGCTCGGAGGTTAAACAAATTGCTCAAGAGAGAGTCAGAAGAACAAACCCTGGTAAGCCAGGTATCTGCTACTCTACATGTTAGGTTTGACCTAGAAACCACTACACATAGCCCAAGCAAAAGTCTCTGTTCTGTAACTAATGCTCAATTGCAATGATAAGGAGAAGACAGTCTTAGATAAAGGAGACTTGAAAACAAAAATAAAATTAGTGGAGTAGGGCAAAGAGCTGATTTAAATATTAAGATTCACACCCCTAGGTGGGGAGAAAGTATGCTAATGAAACATACATGTATGGAAATGAGATACATAGCTAAAACACAGGTATAGAGACATGCGCAGTAAAGAACTCCTTGCGTCACTCCCTTATAACCAATTAGCAAACAAGAATGCTTATGAAGGTCCAATACTCCTGTATAAAAGATGCTCATAATTAAGACTCTGTGTGCTTGTTACGTGAAATTATTCCGCTTGCACCTTGTATTGCTAGCAATAAATCTTTATACTTTCACCCCTGGTATCTTTATTGGCTTTTGCATACCGGGCACGATCCCAGACTTGAGCTGGGGCCCAACAGTTTTTGGCGACCCAGATGGGACTGCCTTAGATAACTTTGCCCGGACTAGCTGACGACCAGACACAGCTCTTCCTTATCAAATGTCAGGCGCGCCCCGGGATCTCTTTTCCCGGTGAGACTTTTGTTTCAGGGGGAGCTGGATTGCTGAGGCGGCAGTAGCCTAACGGTGCAAAGTCATAGAGTGAAAGTATCAGTAACAGGCACCTGGGTGAGAGGGTAGAAAGGGCATAAGGCCTACCGTCAGCACGCCTGCCTGGGATTATCTCTGTAAGTATTCTGTCTGGCCCGAGTCCAAGACCAGTGATTTTTCCCCTGTGAGGACGAGGACTAAGAACAGATCCCTGGATCCCAGGTAAGTCGGACGGTCAGGACCGGGAAGGCAGCCCTGAGATGGGTACTATTAACAGTAAGGTTAGGAAATGTACCCCCCTCTCTTGTGCATTGGGACATTGGGCAGAGTTTGGTGGAGATCCTATGACTAGGAAGAAAGCTAAATTCTTCTGTGAAACTGCGTGGCCACGCTATCAGCTAGATGATCAAGAACATTGGCCTCCGGAGGGAAGTGTTAATTATAATACTATCTTACAATTGATTTTGTTCTGCCGGCAGAATGGTAAATGGGAGGAATTGATGTATGCGCAAGCGTTTATGTCTCTTTGTAGAAATAGAAAGGTTTTGGAGGAATGTGGATTGGGGGAGGGGGTTCGGGGAAGTGAGATGGCTTTCATTGAACCAACTGTAAATCCTGTCCTGGACTGTCCGGAGCCGGAGGCTCTTCCCCCTCTGCTGCCTTTACCATATGCTCTTCCTCTTCCTCCTCCTCCTCCTGATACAGCTGATTCCTTGCTGGCATCTGCTCTTCCTGCTTCTCCCCCCCCC